TTCATTTGGTTTAAAAGAATATTTTCAGGTCTTCCTTAGCTAAGTAGGTCATAACTGTACACTGAGTCCAAGAAGTATAATCGGTGTGAGTAAACAGTCCATTCGTTTTAACTGCTCATTTTCTTTTACAGTGACAACATGACACTTTGATTTATGGCCAGTCCATTTTAAGCTGTATATATTTCTTTCCACTGGGCTTTTTGTTTCTACTCTGCTTCTATTCAATGTAATGCTGTTTTGGATTTATATACATATATTTTCCTCCCTAAACATAATAAGTTATCTTTGGTTTCATTGTTTTCATATTACATGCTATATGTCTTAATATTATGAAGGAACTTGGTAATTTATTAATCTATTTGCTTGCTTATTTGTACCTGCAGATTGTTTCAGAAAGAATTCAAGTCAGCTTTTAGCAATATTATATAAACTAAGATAATTAAAAGTGGGTAGAAGAAAAAAACAAAAATGATTCATTTGTAATAAATCAAAAGTGAGATTACAAATAGAGTGAAAACTGTAGAAACAGCAGTATGGACTATACATTTGTCTATAAGCTTACTAGAGAAAACAGTGAAATGGATAAAAATACATTTTTTCCTGTTCTCCTAGAACCCTGGGAATAGAGTTTAGAGGAGTTTATTTTAGGGAAAACAAATATATTTTCAAAGGAGTAAGTAAAATGTACTGTATTCATTGTCCCTAGCAGTGGTATAGGCTAACATTGTGAGTTGATTAGAAAGGATAATCAGTTTCATACTAGATTAAACTAAGACATGTGGAAAATGTATTAATCTCATGGTTAAGTTCCTTCATGATATTAACTACTTCAGTCACCTCTCCTCTCAGCCTTCCTCTTTACCAAAAGATAAGCCTAATATATTTTTCATTTGTCATCATCCAACCCCTGTATTTTCTTGAACAGTTCATTTTAGTTGCTAAAGTGAAGAATGGAATTTTGAAGGATAATTTGGGGGTGAAAGACTCATATAGACAGCTGATACAGGTGAGGGCAATGAATGGAAAGGTGAGATTTTTTTTTTAATTGCATTTTAGGTTTGGGGGTACATGTGATGAACATGCAAGATTGTTGCATAGGTACACACATGGCAGTGTAGTTTGCTGCCTTCCGTCCCCTCAGAAAGGTGAGATTTTTAAGCTCACATAATGGTGGTCTAGGAATCCCCATTGTAATGTCGGGTAAATGCAAATAAATAACTTTAGTTATTTTTAAACTGCTTTTATTGCTGTCCTGGGTTCCTCTGATTGTACAGTGCTCTGAGTGCATTGGATTACAAATCACAGGGAACATGTCTTTCTAAGCAGATTATATGGACTTAGTTGAAAATATGACTTTTAATGGGCAGGGGTGATAACAGGGAGAGTCCTCCTACAATACCTTGTATGGAGATTTTAGAAAGAAAAAGGAGAGAACCAAATGTATTCCAAGAAAGGAAACTGCATAAATAAACAGCTGAAACTGAGAGTAAGCAACAAATTAAATATTAAAAATATGGAATAACTAAGTCTTAAAGACACAAGAGGAGACTGACTTAACTGGAGCAGAGAAAACTCTCCAGGAAATAAGCCAGAAAACTCTCAAGCAAGTAAGCCAGGAGAGAGAGTGTGGGTGAAGCAGAAGCTACTATAGATTTCTGAGAGAGAGAGAGAGACATAATAAAAGCAGAGTTTTAAACTCAAAGCTAGAGATGCAGAACTGGAAATCATCTGTACAGAGGTTACAGGTTAAGCAATATGAATAAAAGAGAAATCAAAGAAAATAGATTCTCTTTCTGCTTTTTAAAAATGTATTCATAATAAAATGAAATTATACTCATTATAAAAATTTGGAAAATATAGACAACTATACAGGTGAAAGTTAAAATTGCTTGCAATCCTACTACCCAGAGATAAAAACTATAAACCCATCGCTATACATCCTTTCAGTATTTAATTTTCTATATGTACTTTCTTTATGCTCTAAATATGGTAGTATAGCATAGTTCAACACTTACCAATGATGCCCTACTTTCCAATAATTGTTAATTCCCTGTAAAACAAGAGTTATCTCACCCAGCAAGTTTGGGGAATCTGCATACTTGATGCCTCCTTTGGAGATTGTCTTAGTTCATTTTGTACTGCCATGATGTAATAACACAGACTGGGTAATTTACAAAGAAGAAAGATTTATTTTTCACAGTTCTGGAGGCTAGGAAGTACAAGATCAAGGCACCAGCATCTGGTGAGGCCATCTTGCTGCAACCTCACGTGGCAGAAGAAGAGCAAGATAAAATTAACCCACTCCTTTAAGACTTTTTATAGTAATATTAATCCATTTAAGAGACAAAACTCACATGACATAAATAACTTCCATTAGACCCCACCACTCAACACAGTTGCATTGGGATTTTATTTCCAACACATGAATTTTGGAGGACTCATTCAGACCATAGCAGAGCTAAACACTATATACTAGCACATCAGAGGCCCTACAAAGTTAAATCACAAAAAAGACTTTACATAATTAATAACTAACAATCTTATTTGTTCAGGAGAATGATTTTTCATGTACACCTGTTAACCTCACCCTGAACTGCTCTTTCCTTTGAAAAGTGGAGATGTGGTTGTTAAGAGCTTAAGCTTTAGAATGGAACAGGCCTGGGTTCAGCCTTGCTTCCAATTTTGTTCTCTCCAGAATGTTGCCACCTACACAGCACTTTGCTCTCCATAAAAGAAGCACCCAAGTACTTACCTCACAGAACTAGTGTGAGGTTTTAAAAAAGATAATGTATGTAAAGCACTTAGCACTGTGTCTGGTACACACTTATCACTCTAAAAACTGGGTTGGCTTTGGTAATTTCATGATTACTAACCTGAATTTCCTCCTATCTACCACAATTATTTTCCTATGTCATTATTTTTTCAAAACCCAGCCCTTTAATCACTCCACGGTAGTCTATGCCACTATCCCATAACTGAATTGTCTAATACTATACTGTAGAACATTTATTTCCAATTTTTTCTTTTATAAATAATGCTCTGATTGATATCTTCATATATAAAACTTTGTCAACCTCTCTGATTAATTGCTTGACTCCTAGAAATAGAATTGTTAGATAAAAGGGCAAAAATATTTTTAAGTTTTTAGTACATATTACTAAACTGCCCTTAGGAAGGCTTGCATTAAATTGTATTTCCACTATGAGCTGAATAGTCATTCCCATGTCCTAGTCTTTGTGTTAGAATTATAGTGGAGATTGGTTGCTAAACAGAAGCAGGAAGAAAAGAAATGTACATTTTTGCTTTCTGTAGATATAGAAAACAGAAAGAAGTTAAATATAAGAATTAGTGTTTGAAAGATAAGCCCATTTTCATGCTGACTTCCAGGACTCTAGCTGGGTTGATCTGAGCAAGCTTGGAAGTGGAAGTCTTACAGAGCTATGCCTAAAAGAGAACATCTCCAGTGGTTCCAGATGTAAGATAAAAGTGAGGAGTAAAATAGGTTAAAGTAAATGTGATAATAACATGGAGAACAGATATATCTATACATTTAGGAACTCATCAAATGACACAGCTTGTTTGCTTGACTCACTGTAAGAGATCCAGTCATTTGTTATTTTTGCAACAATGAAAATTAGGGAGTTGGCTATTTATATGTATTACATTAATTTCTACTGAAATAAAATGTATTTATGTGCAAGATGGCAAGACGTATTTACACACAAGATGACAGAGCATTGAGATTATTCCATTTCTAGGACTCAATCATAAGGAATTAATCAGAAACACAGACAAAGTTTTATATGTAAATGAAATAATAACAATACATTAAGTCGGGTGCGGTGGCTCATGCCTGTAATCCCAGCACTTCAGGAGGCCGAGGCGGGCAGATCACCTGAGGTCAGGAGTTGGAGACAGCCTGACCAACATGGAGAAACCCAGTCTCTACTAAAAATACAAAATTAGCCACGTGTGATGGCACATACCTGTAATCCCAGCTAACTCAGGAAGCTGAGGCAGAAGAATTGCTTGAACCCGGGAGGTGGAGGCTGTGGTGAGCTGAGATCTCACCTTTGCACTCCAGCCTGAGTGACTGTAGCAAAACTCCATCTCAAAAACCAAACAAAACAAAACAACCAAAAAAAAAAAAATACATTGAGGTCCTTTAAAGATGGAGTCTTTGTCTCATTAATTTTGGATTTTTCATCAACCATATGGAGATAGGTACACATTAGGCAAAAAGTATAACTTTGTGTTTAGGGAAACTTTTGTATATGAGTCTTTCACACCCTCTACTTATAGGTGACAATCTTGTTTTTCAAGAGAGAGATACAGTCAGCTTACATGGTGAAATAGCTGATAGTGTATTTCCAAAATGAATCAAGAATATATGGGGATTAACAATATCTCCTTTAGCTATACATGATATTTTTATTCTCAGATACCAAGGAGAGTTACTTCCCAATGATATATTTAGCAAGAAATCAAACTGGCATTTCACATAATGCCACAAAATGCCATCAGATTACTCTGGAAGCACATTTCATACTTTAAGTGATTTTTCTTGTTTTTAAGTGCTGTTAATTAAATAATAAAAGTGAAAGATATTACTCATAATTTAAAAAGTTACTTCTCTCTCAACTTCTACCTAAGGCTCTGAGTTAGTTACATGTCTATGTTTGATAATTAGCTTGAGAATTGTCAAATCCCCAGTCACAGATCAAGAAAGACAAGTTTTAAAATAGAACTAAATTCCAAAAATTTACAGTTTTCCATTACGTTACAAAAGTTATAAGCTAGTAGAATAATTATGAGGCCCATGCCTTGGATTCTTGAGCTAAGAAAAGAAAAAAAATACTCTTTACTTACCTGCCAGTTGTGAAAAGTTATAAGTTCTTTTTGTAAGATGTAAGTTCATCTACATCCACAGATAAAAATTTCTATTAAATTTGAAAAGGAATCATAGAATCATAGATAATATGACATTTAGAGGCTCTCACCTGAGTAAAGAAGGGTAGAAATGTGATATGCAAGAAACCCAGTATAATGGTTGCTTAAAAAATGATTTTAAGGAATCTGAAGCAGACTCATCCAGGCCATGCTGAAAAGTCCTAAAGAAATACAAATAATTAGTGTAGAATATACAGGAAACATTAACTATGATCATTGAACTAACTTTTGATTTTTACTTAGGATTCAGTTAATGATTTTTACACAAAATGGTATTGTGCAAGAATGGACAACGCTCCTACTTAATCTGCTTGGGATTTATGTTAAGAGGTGACTCAGGAGCTAGGTGGGCAAGTCTGCATAGCCATGAAAAACCACAAGTTGAAACTTAGAATTTTTATGAACCTCTGTAAAACAATCCTTATACTTGAGGAAGGTGTAACAATACCATTATCATTTAATTTTTAAAAATCTCATGTTATACAGTTTGTCATGATAAAAGGATAAAGAATAGCAAAATGAATACAACCTATGTTTCCCATTAATAGTATTTTTATGTCCCATTGCTATCTTCTTCAACATGGATCTAATAAATGCCAATATTTTGTCATATTTGCTTCATTAATGTAAAAAATTTTTTGCATGATGGTACCTCTTTTTAACCTTTAAAGTTATTTATAAGTACTCAACAATTAATTAGAATTTATAATTATTTTTGTATGCTCCTAAGGGTCTAGAGAGGGCTTATAATTTCAAAATTAAAACAATTTAACCAGAATATCTGATCTACAACAATCAACAATTACTGTAACATTTTTCTAGGTTGGCTCAAATTCAACTCTAAATCTTGACACAATAGAAAAGGATTTGTCACATAAAATCTTTAGCAGATAACTTGGCTAGTAAAAAATTTATAACAACAGGAGATTATATTTTCCTATATAGAATTAAGATAATGATTGGGAACATTTTAGAAATGGAGTTTTTGAGATGGTATCATTTCTCTTTATATACAGTACAGAAGCAATAGTATCTTTTGATATGCAGAACAGAATTCCATTTTGAAAATCCACCCTTATCTTTTCACTCCACATCTTGCTACTTGTATCCTCATGTTTTCCAAATTTGACCTTTCTATCCCCCTGGTTGTCTAGCTAAATAGAACATCTTCTAGTTGACTTGGACCTTTTTTAGACTTTTAATATATCATCTCTTCTTTGAAAGACTTTGTTTTCTCACTAAATCTCAGATCAAAACAAACATTCCTTAAATAGGCTTCAAAGTCAGGCTGTAATATTTCTATTCTGTGTATTCCACTGCGTGAGCTAGAGAAGTAAGCAGAAGCCAGACCAGGTACAAAGATACATTTCTCTAAGGAGTTTGGACTTAGTACCAGCAATAAAGAATCACTGAAGAGTTTATAGTATGGTATTAACACCAGCAGTTTTGTATCCTAGAAAAATCACTTCGGGAGTAGTAAGGAGAGCAGACTGAAAAGAATCAGGCAGGAGGGAGGGAGATAATGAAAATGATATTGTAGTAGTCAGGTCAGAGAGGATAAGACGCTGAACCAAGGTAAGAGACAGGAGATAGAAAGTAGGAGACAAATATAAAACATGTTAAATTAATGGAGGAAACAATAGTCATCTCCTAATGACATGGGGTTGGTGATGGTACAAGTGGGGAGATAGAAGGAGAAAATTAAGGAAAAGAAAGAAGCTTAGGATACACTGCAAGTATTTTACTTAGTTTTAAATATGTTAAGGGGGCCAAAGACATCTGAACTACATCCAAGGCATCCAATAGGAATTTGGATTTACTGATACAGCACATACAAGAGCTGCCTGGTTTGAAGATATCAATGTGGAAGTCATCACATAATGGTATAGCCATAAGAATGGATGAACTCACACCCCAAAAAAGAAGTTAGAGCAGCCAAGAGAAGAGAAAATGATTGAATCCATTGGAGTTAGCAATTGGGTGTGTATGGATGACTCTGCCCATGTTGTTAGTTTAGCATGCTGAGGGTAGAAGTCCAATTGCAATGTACCGAGTGAGTGGTAGGTATAAAAGTAGACAATGAATGAAAACTGTTTTAGAAGGAAAACACAATAGTAATAGAGGAACATTTTTTAATACAGGAAATATTTTGGGGAAGGAGCCACAAGACAAGATAGAAAGAATATTTAAAATGCCATGAGTAGGAGGTTAATGCAATCAAGAGTCAGGTACAAAGATTTCCTTTAATTGGGAAAATAGACATATTGATCAGACAGTAATCAAAGGATGTAGAGGTGAGTGGGGAGAAAAACTATTATTAGGAATAGAGATGAGAAGTTAAAGTGCATTCATGATGGTTGTGGATTTTCTTGGAGAAGTATAGGGGCAAGGCCATCTGCTAACAAACAAATGGGACAAGATCAGGGGCTTGATTAAAATGGAGAAGGATGAAAGAAGGAGTTGTCCAAGATTGGACAAAGAGTGGGATTGTCAAAGGGTATAAAAGGAGAGATGAGTGATATTCTCTAAAAATGTACCAGAGTCTGGATAGAGCCCAAGAAAGTGAGGGTATGAGGAGGACCATGCAACTGCCAGAGAGCAAGGAAAAGGAGGGTGCCAGTACAATGTGACAGGAGATGCAGCAGGCAGCCTGGAGAGAAAGGCACTCTCAAAGGAAGAGAAAGACTCTGAGAGAAGGATGGGACAAGACATAGAACACTTGATGAGACAGCAGGGGAACTGGAGAATGTGGACAAAGATACTACATATCTTTGTAGACTATGACTACATTCCCTTCCACTTTAATCCCTTTGCATAAAATCCCTATCTGTCTGGTTATCTGAGGGCCACCTCATTTCTCTAAGAATGAATACTTCACTGTCGTGTTCAGGTAGCTCCATTGATTGCTCTACCTCCAAAGCTTCTCTAAGTCTTCTCTCACTACCCTGTCTAAAATATCTCCCCTTTTATAACCTCATCCCCTCTCTATGCCCTAATTTTGGTCTGTTTGTTTATAGGATTTAACTCTGCCTCCAATTCCTTTCCATTACTTTCTTATCTGCTCCATACCCCAAGGGTAAGGTCATCAAAGGTTATATAGAGGTGGTGTATGGGCGCATGCAGGAACTGAAGCCAGAGAGCCTGGGCTTATATCCAGAATGTGCTTTTATTAACAGGCAATGCTAGTGGCAATATATTTACCCTCAGTTTTCTTATTTGTAAAATGGGGATTAAAATAGTAAATCACCTCACAGGGTCAGTGTGAAGATTAAGTGAAATAATGTATTTAAAGGATTTAGCAAAATGTCTTGTACACAGTAAGTGCCCTATATAAATAAGATATCATTATAATAACAACAGTTAGAAATTGTTCCTTAAAAAGTCTATGGCCATTTCAAAATGGACATGAAATTCCTGATAGTCTAAATGGTTGCCTAGCTACAGTTTTATCCTCATAACTAGACAAAATAATGGAGGATCTAATAATAATAGCATGGTGATTTAGTACCCAAATTTCTTAGACGACAAACCACTGGCAATATGGTATTTATCTGAGCATTTCTGCCAGTACCTAAACTCTTTTACCCCACTGACAGTTTCTCAGTCATACTGGTTACAGTAAGGTTATTTGGCTATAAGAGATATTATGGCAGATGTTTATGGTCTCAAAGGGAGTGAGATCTGTATGAGCATTTAATTCCACAGCAAGATCCCAAATTAGTTTCATTATTCTAGAGTATAACAGGGTGAAAATTGGCCCACAAGCCTCAATGGGAGAATGAAATTGTGAGCTAGCTATTAGATAACCTCTAATGATGTTTTGGTATATAGTTAAAAGACAGGATGCTCTAAATAATTCATAGTGGAGAGTAAAATACAATTGTATGAGCCATAGAATTATATTTTTCACAAGACAAAAGAATTTTGATACAGCAAATTTAAATACTTTCTTAAAAATAAATGTCTATAAGTTTGAAGCAGGATACATTTCTTCACATTCCCAAATGAACACACTAGAAAGATGACTTTGCTTAAGGGGAAAAGAGTGAATTTTGGAAAATTCCTTGCCTTTGCCCTTCCTCCAACCTCAAGTAACCATGCCTCTTCCTAGCATTAGCATCATACAGTCTCTGTGCTGACCATGCCAGCACTCTGTCCTAGATTCACTCTCTCTGGGTTCTCTGATCTACACCTATGTTGCTGGCATTCATTTTTTTTTTCTTTAACAAAACTGATCAGCTCTTTAGGCTGATGTAGCCAGATGCTGAAAGGAGATAAAACCCAAAGTACATCAAAAGTGGGAACAGCTGATGAACTATAAAGAGTTAGCTGGGTTTTATGCTTCTCTTGTGCCATGCTGCTTTTGGCTGTCCTCCCAGGAGAAATGGGTCTCATAATATGATGCTAATGGAATAAACCTCCAAGACTGAATTAAGGTAGCCCAAGGATGTGAGTTCTCTGTGAGTGGAGGGTCAGGTTAGACTTCTTGAGTCATCTGTGCCTACCATAGTGCCTGGGCCACTGGAGGCATTCAGTAAGTAATACCAAGAGAAGACCACAACCTTAGAAAGGGCAGAAATAGTGTGAAACTGAATGACTAAGATAGCACTGGAAAGCTTGAGATAACTGAGGACATGTGAACCTTTCTGATGGCCCTAGAATCACAGAAAACTATCTATGAATACCAAATTCAAGATTCTAAAAAGAATTCTAAGTAGCTGCTTCGCTGTCATAATCCAGCATTTTACCGGAGACTGTAAGTTGTTGCCTGAATGTCATTAAATGACATTTAAATGCCTTGAATTTCTCATGATGAAGATAACTATTTGAGGTTAGTGAATGATAATTTGAGGTTAGAGAATGACTGGTACAATGCTAGGCCCATAGTAGATAGATGGTAAATACATGGTAAAAGAAAGAAAGAATAAATAAAATGTATTACCAGACCTTCCTTAGTTAAAAGGAGGATGAGTTTAAAGGGCCATCTATGAAGAACAGTTGTGGGTGGTAGACAGCCAAAGGGCAGGCTCGGAACATAACATGAGATGGAGAGGGAGAAAGACCGGACCTCAGGGTATACCAGGAGCTAGCCAGTAGAATATTCTAGGAGCAGCCCTTCTCTAAATTTAATGACTGGTTCCTTTTGAGTATTTCAACCTTATTAGGATGACACATAAAGCTGTTGAATTTTGTATTTTTTAAAAATGAGATTCCCCTTTAAAAATAATGTTTAGAGGAAGGTGGATAAAGAGAGTCACTGAACTTAAACAAAATGGCTAAGACAAGAAACTTCACTTTCTGGAAAATTTTGCATGCTGCCAGATTATTTTTTTAAACATTTTAAATATATTTCAATTTCCATTTGTTTTCACAACTTTATTGAGATATATAATTCATATACCAAAAGATTTCCCCATTTAAAGTATACAATTAGATGGTTTATACTATATTCATGGAACTGCATAACCTTCATAAGTATCTAATTTTAGAATATTTTATTCTCAAATGAAACTCTGTATCCATTAGCAGTCACTCTCCATTCCCTCCTCCCCTCAGCTTCTGGTAATCATTGATCTACTCTGTCTCTATGGATTTACCTATTCTGGACATTTCTAATAAATAGAATGAAATGATATGTGGGCTCTTGTGTCTGGCTTTTTTCATTTAGCATGTTTCTGAGGTTCTTCCCTGTGGCAGCATGAATAAGCACTTTATTCCTCTTTATTCCTGAATAATATTCCACTGTATGGATATGCCACATTTTATGTATCCATTCACTAGTTGGTAGATATTTGGCTGCTTCCACATTGTTATTTTGAAAAATGCTGCTATACAAATTTTTGTATGGACATAACATTTTGAGCACTCCTGCACAAATTTTTATGTGGACATAATATTTTCTTTGTTGGGTCATATGATGATATGCTCAACATTTCACATAAGCATATTCTATGCTTAACACTTTGAGGACCTGCCTATTTTCCAAGGTGTGCCAGCCACTCCTGAGGTAGAAAAGCAAAGGCCTATTTTGTTTTCTGAGAAACAGTGAAATAGTTTCTTTTTTTAAAAAAAGGATAAGGCCATAAACTCAAAAGGTATAACATGAGTTTGAAACAGAACTATAGACAGAGCATTGGATTTTGGTGACTAAAAAGCCTATGAGTGACAACAAATGGACCCCAAGATGAGTCTGCTATTCCTTGGCTTAGTGATCCACCTTCTGGCGTATTTCTGAGGACTCTAGCCTTTGCATGGTTTGTTGGCAGTTGTATTGAAATCCCACACTTCCATCTTATTAAATGTTGAGATAGCCCACTTTCAGGAAGTTTCTACTATTAGGACTTTTGATATAATACATCAAAACATTTGGGTAAATGAAGATATAGAAATTAGATATAGATATGAAATTTATTGCTTAATTCTACCTTTTATTATAGATTTAGGGAGGACAATATTATTTCAATTTAAAAAAAATTTCATCAGCTGTTCTTAAATTACTTTTGACAGATATTACATCTTGCTCACTGATATATCTCTTGTCTTTAATCATAGGGGCTAGAGAGGCAACAACAATTGTTGAATTGAAACTAAATTACCTTTATGCAATAGTCTAGTAATTAATTTTTAACCTGCTATACATGAACTAAAACTAAAGTCTATGCACCCAAAATGCAACATATGAAACCACTGTGTGGGGATGTGTATGAACATGTATGTGAATATGCTTCTCAACCTAGCAGTTTAACTGCCTTTATGAAATAATTATAAGTGATAAGCACTTCGGAAAATACACGGTGAATATTTTCTGTTTCAGCAGGTTCCTTTCCCTGGAGAACAAAGCTGAAGTACTCCTTTTACAACATTCTAACAGAAATCTGTAAAGGCAAGTTAAAAAAGAACACATATTTTTGCAAACGGTTTCATTTTTCCTGAAAAGACTTTAAAATCATGTACTCCTGTCCAGGGATTTGGTGGTCCTATGCTAAGCTCAGAAAGGAAAACACATCTAGTTTTTCTGTTAGAACTACTTCAAATAAAGGCAGTCACCTTCTAAAAGGGCATATTGCATAGAGTGACAGATATCAGGTACAGTTTATAAAAATTCAATACTATTAATATTTGTTGGCTACTTTTCACTGATTCCTCAAAGAATGTGATTTAATTTTTTAATGTGAGATTCACAGTTTTTTCTAACATGCTAATAGTATGACAGATTTTTATCTTGGATGTGCAAAAAAGCTCAATAAGTCAATAGTGTTTTTGCAACACACAAATATATTTTTCTCTAGTTGGCAAATAACATGCTGCCCTGTAGATTTCCTTTGTCAATACAAAGCAAAGTATATTTCAAATATTAGATTTATAGTCTAAGAAAACAATCATGACATTTAAACAAACATAAATGTATAAAACTTTTGAAATTTTTTGAACTAAGAAATATTTAAAAAGAATTAAAATATATTTAGGTTTTTGTTCATGCTTCAAAGCAATATAGCTATCTATGTTTTATATTAAGATAAACCAGAGGCAGCGCTTAGCGTAAAATGTTCTGTAATCCTCGTTGAAATTAGCAATTTAAATTTGCTGAATGAGGTTACAGTGCAATATCTAATGCACAAATCATAGAGATTTGAGTAATTGCATAGTTGTTAAAAAATGTATCAAAAAGCCATAGGTTAACAATAATGAATGTATGTTACATTATTATTAAAATATGCAATCTTTGATAATAATTTATTTGTTTTACAAATGCATTGGGGGGCTAAAATTTTTCAATTCATCTGTGACAAAGCATGAAATTCAATATTGCTCACCATGACCAATCCATGAAATTTGTCAACTATGTTCCTGATTTTCACAGGGCCTTCCTCTTAGATGAAATGACCCATTGAACTGAGGGCATAGCAATTTTTTCATTTATGGTAAATCGGTTTAGTTTCCTAGGATTTATTATGGGCTTCAGACTTGAGATTTTTATGATTATGAACCATTATGTACATAATATCAACCGTATGGCAATTTATCTCACTGTTTCTTTCTCTTTCTGAAAGAATTCTCCATTTCTAAAAGTAGCTCTCAACTTGGGTTGCTAGAAGGAACACTCTGTAAACAATGGGCTTATTGAAAGTCAGAGTAGGTAAAAATTACGTGGAAGCTGAAATCAAAGCAGTTAATTACCTTAGGGATATCTAATACAAATGTCTCAAAATTTATGGAAAATTAAGATTCCTATATTGCTTTTACCAGAATGTTTTGCAAAGAAACACTTGACCTGATTTAGCCTTAGAAATAGACATATGTAAAATTTGACTACCCATGAAGATACAATTATGTAGTTAAAAAATGAAAGTGGAGGAGGATATAAACAAAATGGTATTAATGTTTTATTGTAAGACTCTTCTAACCTCCTCTATAACATTACAGATCTGAATTGAATTAACAAGAAATCAAAAGTAATTTCATGTTTCTAGATTTCTCTAAATCTTATTTGTTGAGCTAAGTAAAATATTTCCACACTTAAAAAATGTAATCATTATTTCTATTTCCATTTGCCATTACTAGTTGAGGTACGTCTCAAATATAGTTTTCTTTTTCATAGAGTATCAAAAAATCACTATGATAATTAGGCCATCAATATAATCTGATCATTTAAACAACCCAAATAGTGAAGCTAAAAATGTTCCTGATTGTATCAGAACTTTATCAGCTGAGTGGCATTGACCAATAGAGACATAACACACTTTTGGGCACTGAGTTGCACTGAGAATTATGAAACCCCTGTTGGTTTGTGTTAGTTTGATCACAAAATGGCGGCTATTGCTGCCCACAGTTTGTGTTAGTTTTAATAAATGGCCTAGTACACAGTCTCAAAATGCAATTCAAAAGATTTCTACTTGTAATTTTACATTATTCAATAAGTGTTATGAAAATAACTTTGTTAATCATATTATTATATATCAATAATAGGTAAAAGGAAAATACATTTGATACTTACTTATATAATTCTGTTAATGGTGAAGTCAAAATGACTAATGTTGTAAACAGATTATTACAATGGGTATGAATTTTAAAAATTGTATTATCTGTATGCTCATGAGGATTCAAAAGTTTTCGTACAGATGTACAAACTGACCATAACATGTTCTCAGTGCATATTAAAATTGTTGTGACATCAAGTCTATTGGAAAGAAAGAAAAGAAAATCATGTTAAATAAAATAATGTTTCTGCTTGGTAGGCACTTTCATTCATATCTCTTATAATAAGCATATGTAAGAATAGAAAAATTCAGTTAGACACTGGAGCTTCAGAGATCAAAATCAAATAGAAAGTATAAAAGACACTCTTTGAGTTTCTAGGTGTTAGGTGACCCACAATACCTTTATTTTTAGGGATGGTGAGCTCTGTAATAGTGTTTAAGGAGTGCTTTTAAAAAAATGTTTATTTTACATCATTAGGATTCTGCTCAAGAAATTCAAGAGATCTCAGAAATTACACTGAGCAAAAGAGAAGCTAGATGAAAAGAAAAATTTGCTATTATCCATATATATGCATGATAGGTTAAAATTCGAGGGCAAAACAATTCTCCTCACTCATGTGTAAGCTGTCAAATAAAAAGTTACAAGATTGGTAACATGTTCTCCTAGCAAATGGGAAATGAGAAGAAAAGACAAGCAAAGCTCAAGTCAAGAAGCCTATAGTTTCAGAAATGTTTAATATTAAATATATGGAAAATATGCTGTATTATTTATCTTACTTATAGACTTATTTCTTTGTTTTCATCTCTTGAGTTTTAATAGGGACCCAAAGATCTTTTTAATTATTATTTTGTCATATAACTAAATTGAATAGATATCAGTTTGTTTCTTCTTTTTTTCTTTTAAATTCAGGAGTGAAGAAACAGAAGATGAAAAGTTTGAAGTGATAAGAAAAATGTAAGTTTGAAGATCTTTTGAAGTGACACTTTTGTCTCAAATTTATTATATATAATACATATTATATATTAATAATATATGACACATATATAAATTGTATATATGGCTTGATTATGTGACATTTGGAGGCTACTGGAATACAAAAATAATCAATAATGGCCTTTAGGAAGGTTTAATTTTAGTTTGTATATGCTTTTTCTAATTGCTAGATAAATAATTACTAATCCAGTATATATGTAGACACACACACACACACACACACACACAATCTGATTTACTAACGGTGGTTTAGGATTAACCAGTCAAATAAAATTATTTATATATTTTACTTAAAAAACTAGAAGAAATACTTCTAGCATTGCATGACATTTTTATGCAAAAACACAGAAAATAAAAAGCAAAAGTCTCCATTGTACAGTTAATTAATTAAATATACAACCCATTTCTACCTATTTCATGAGCTAACAGTAAAGCTGATTTCACAAATATCTCATAATGACTTGCCATTTCATAATCAAAAGTGATTTATGCTACCTAAGGAAAAGAATGAAGGTATTCATTGCTTTCAAAAGGAATTTTCCATCTATTCTTCAGAGTCCAATTTTTTTAAAAAAGTCTGGTCAGTAATTCAAAACAGCCTGTGCAAAATACCATATTTATGAAACACTGCAGCAGGACCTAAATGCCCTTCAAATGGCAGTATGCTTTACAAGAACATGATCAGGAAATGATTCCTCCTGCCCAAAAAAAAAAAAAAAAAAAAAACAACCTAAAAGCCTCCGACGTCTGTAAGTTTCTTCTAAAATATATCTGAAAAAAGTTTATTCTACCTAAAAAATCTGAATCATATTACACAGAATATTTACAACAAAAACCTTTTCTTCATCTATACACAAGACCTTTGTAGTCTTGTAAGCACATTCATATATTCATTGCCTAGATAACTCATAGAATTGTACTATAATTCAGTCTTATTTAATACTCACTGACTGTTACTCCTCATTTTCTGTGATTTCATACTTTGTTTAACTGGCTTTTGTAATAAACAGTGAAATGAAAGGAAAAAAAGTGTTAGAATATATTAGGAAGAAAAATAATTAGACAAAATAGTTTTCTTAATGAAGATGAACTTCCATATTTAAAGGCTTAAGAAAAAACTAAAATCTCCTGGTTGCCTAGAAGCTCAAAATCAAATTAGTCAAATTGACTGCTCCATCATGGCATGGATGCTTTGTTATCAATTTCAGGGCCTTAATTTTCTATTTTTATCTTATTAACATTTGTAGATCTATGTCCTAGATTATAAGATACCTTGAATCATTCTTTAGAAACAAGTGGGTTCTATAAATTTTAAGGAGTAAAAAGAACACATTTACTTTGATTCAGGTTTCATATTTTCACTTAAATAACTCAGGAAAATAGAATATGATTTCTTTTCAGATGTTAGAAACATGTTAAAATATATAAGGAGTATGCCATGAGATTCAGAATTACATTCTGTTTATACCAACTGATAAAGTTTTCTTGAAAAGCAACGTTTTTCAGAACTTCAATTACCTTAACTGTGGAGTTCTCTTATGGCTGGGGTGAGCCCGGGCATATCTGGAGGCAAGTAGACCCAAAGATTTCTCCAGCACTTCTGCTAGAATCTCCTGGGCTAACTTAGGAGGCAGAATGGTCCAGAGATCATGATGAAGAGCCCAGCAGAAATAATGCCACATCTGGATCGAGAAGGAACATCTTTCCCCCTGGCAAAACCACCACATGTTAAACCATAGAATTACGTCTTCCAAAATGTCAATTTGCTTCCTATGAACCTAATTAGTTCAGGCTGAAAGGAAATAGCTAAAGAGTTTGACACACTAGCAGACCAACAAAGGTTTTTGGCAAGATGTAAAACATCCTTATTGACAAAGGAACAGATGTTTTATTTAAATTATGAGACTAGATATTCTAGTGCAAATCCAGACCACAAATATTTAACCTAGCATAGCCTTGATTTACCTACTCCTAGCCTATGGTTTAAAATTTATTTTTAAACAACTTGCTTTGTAGTTGCTGAAAAAGTCATGCTAGCTTGTTTAAGACAGTAGACTGATTCTTCTAACATTAAAATCTATTTAAATCATTTCAGTAGGTATATTTTTCTGAGCCTATTAGCATCATTGATGTAATTTTATAAATGTTTCAGATTTCACATTATAATGAAGTGACAGGAGTAAAAAGAAACTCGGATACTGCATTCTTAGGAACATTCTTGAAACCAAGGGGGATGGGTAACTATCAAAGATTATTACATTAGGCTATTTTGCCTATGTTATTTAAATAACAATACTAGAAACAGATAACCACAAAAATCTGAGTTTACAAGATTCTTTAAAGCCTAAGTACATATTATCACCATTTCTTAGTATTTTTTATGGCATTTCATACTTTTAAAGAGTCATATTTTCATTTGTTTCCACCCCTGTACAGATCTCTTTCTGTGTGCCAAATTTTCTGACTGCAGAGGAAGAGCTAACAACGGCCAAGGCAAAGGGGAACAGGCAGAAAGAAGGTGGCCTCAAGTGATTTACAAGCATTAATCAGGTAAAGCGTCCTCTCAGGAAGGTATGCTAGTAGTTTCACCTCATTTTCTTCAAATCAGATCAAATGATTATTTGAAATAGGAAGATTAGAATTCATTCCTCAAGCATTATCTTGATTATGTTAATATACCAAAAGTTAAACTAGTAAAATTTCCTCTTACATTCCAAGTGGTTATCTCTTACTTAAAAATTCTGCTTTTTCCACTATTTGTATTTGTCAGACAAATGTCATCTAAAAAAATATCTGCTGTTCTTTTATGTCAAAAGTTGACAGTTTCTTATGCAGACACTCTCTTCAGTATTTTCTTAATGTATTACTCTTCCGGTAGTTTCTTTGATTACATATCTTCTGCAGTCACGGTAACAATAGTAATTTATAGTTATTATCTACTGACTTCCATATAGCATTTATAAATGTGTAGAATTTGTATTCCTTGGGTAAGAAACTTGGGTATCAAAATGTCAGAGTCAAGTTCAAACTGGAGGGGACTTTGGCCACTGGCTTCTGATTTCCTAATTAGATGGCTATCTAAACTCTAAGAAAAAGAAATTGTGAAACTAATGCTGAAGCAGCAAAGTTACAGTTTCTTATGCTTTCTTTGTTGTGTGTTTTGATGAATACTTTTTCAACTAAGAAAGGAGTTTTAATGCTTGATTTTCTCATACTTTTTTTGTTGCATGTAAATTAAACCAAAACTGACCCAGCTGATACAGTGACTAATATGAATGATTTACACTAACTTTCCCCATGGCAATGGGTGAAATGTAACATGATCAGAATGATTTCTCATGTTCTTCAAAATATGAATAAACTTCCTTCACAGCTATCATTTAGTGATAAATGAGAAATAAAAGTAACTTTAGGCACACAGATTTCTTCTCTTAAAAGTAAAAAAATACTTATTTTAAGACTTTTAAAAATATAAACTTCATGCTTAAAATATTTCAAATAGGTCTTCTAACAATTATTTTTAAAATTCATACAACTTCAGTGTACGCAGGATTTTCATTAAACTAAATGTAATTCATTTATTTTTCTGACCTGTTTCCTTATTTGTTGTCGTTTCAAAAGTATTCTGCTAGTAAACATCTGTTATTTTTGCAGACCCACTATAATGTAAACAGATGTGAGCTTTTATTTAGATTATGTATCAGGAAACAAGCAGTTGGGCTTTATTATAGAAGCCACTCAGTATTATCTTTGAACAGACAATTCTTTATTCTTCAACTATTGAAAAACACTAGTTCCTAAAACTGAGCAGATGTCAACTATACTAAAAGCTTAATTTTAAACATGTAATCTGAACACCCACTGCGCCATCGTGACCAGTACCTCATCAGAGAGATACAGAACTCTTTAACTCCCTCAACCTGACAGTTTAGAAAATGGAAATAATGTATCAGCATCTAACTTGCTATCACAAAACATGAGCAAATACTGCTGCGTATCTTGTAAATTATTTTACTATTTCTTTACTATGCTCTGCACATGGAGATAGGTTCCCTTGAGATCTCTATCCTACCCTTCACCTCCAGTCAGGCAGATATCATCTTTTTCCCTCTCAAAGCAGGCCTGCCAAAAATATAATAGTTCTGTTTCACAAATCAGTTGGAATAATGGGGAGAGGAGAAGAAAGGGGTGCAGTAAGCAAGACAAAACCATGTCAGGTACCCCAGTTGTCAAAACAGTTTAAAATCAGTGCTATTTTTAGAAGGTTCTTATTTTTGATACATAAAAAAGCAGTATCACTTTATTTTTCTGAGAATAAGTAACAACCACTAACTCTGCAATTAAATTGTAACTACTGACCATGTAAGTATATGGAAGCTACAGTACCATGTAATCACAGGGTAACTATCTTGTTATTTCCGTCTTTGAAGCTAAAGCCTTGTCATAAGATCTAAGAGCTGCATGTTACATGGTAATTTGTTGGCTTTTAAAATACTTGGTAACTTCAATAACAGGTTCTCAATGCATCCACTTATTTACACCGTACGACTCTTCTAGCTCCCAATGTGCATAAGAGGAAACATAACACCCCTATGTTGAACATACAGTGAGATGATACCTGTTCTTCATGGAAAACATCATATAAAATTGCTCATTAGTAGTACACTGACATATTGAAATAGTTTGAAACATGAGATGGATTCATTTTCAAACACTCTGTTTACTTCAAGGCAAATAAGGAAAATATGATGTTTCCAGGAGAGGGGAAGACCAATACTTTCATTCTTATCTCAGGCTACCAGCTGCACCATACCACTTTCTCTTTCTCATTCTGCTCGCTGCTTCCATGACTATTTGAAGTATGTCAGATTTGGAAAACTCTATATGGATGCTCTTGCAAAAAGAAAAACTCTCTGGGAAGGGCCTCTAAAGGAGAGATGAAATGGCCTTAGAAAAAGTGGAAAGTTCTTTAAGAGAGCTTCTTATTAGCTGCTCCTCTCTGTTATAGCAACATTTATTATGATAATAACTGAGGTATACATGAAACCACAGGAACCTTCAGTGCCTGCGAGGTGACAGGAGTGATTCTGTTGAATAAAACTCCGCTATGTTTTTCTCAATATCCTATAGTAATTAGGACAATCAAGAAAATGAAAGTCATAAACTTCAATCTAAAGGAAAAGGTAAAATAGAAAAGGTAATGAAGCTGGGCAGGGCTGTTGAATTTTTTTTTTAACCCTGATTATTAAGATATTATAAATGTTTCACTCTGCCCTGGAATCAACTTCAAGGAATTTCAAATATTGTGGTCTGTGCACAATCAATGAGATTTAGGTGAAGGGAAACCAATGAAGCTTGATGATGAATAATTTTAATTGATCCTGGGTTTGGTTGCACTGGGAATCATTAGGCTTCAATTTACTAAAATCTGGGATTTCAAAACATAAACTAAATGAAAATAGGTAAGCTATAAATGATCAGATGAGTCTTTTTTTTTTTTTTTTTTTTTTTTTTTTTTTTTTTTTTTTTTTTTGAGATGGAGTCTCACTCTGTTGCCCAGGCTGGAGTGCAGTGACTGGATCTCAGCTCATTGCAACCTCATCTCCTAGGTTCAAGGAATCCTCCTGCCTCAGCCTCCTGAGTAGCTGGAATTACAGAAATACACCACCACACCCAGCTAATTGTTTGTATTTTTACTACGGATGGGGTTTCACCATGTTGGCCAGGAGGGTCTCAAAGCCCTCACCTCATGTGATCTGTCCACCTCAGCCTCCCAAAGTACTAGGATTACAGGCATGAGCCACTGCGCCCAGCCTCAGATGGGTCTTAAAGCATACTCATAAGAACGTATGATGAGAAGGAAAAAAATAAGCACAAAGAATAAAGCTGCTTAATAAAAGGTATTTATCAAACACAGATGGAAACATATAACAAGAAAAAATGCAAGGATATCCATAACTAACTGGTCCTTTTGGAAAAAATACAAGGTTGTAGCATTTTGGCATTGTTATCTCTTTGAGTTTTCATTGTATCCCATTATATTCCAACTTATATAGCAGTGCAACATTGCAGCTCAAATGAGGTTATTTTTACTTTTAAGCAGAAGGAGAGTTCTGATGTCTAATTTGTTTCAGGTTTTTAAAAACAGTATTTTTCCTAAGTATGAATTCAATATTTAAAAAATATTATCCTAACAGCCTTCATGTATTAGTAATGCCAAACTCATGTTTCTAATTAGCCAGAAAGCAGGTAGGCAGTAAAACATATTTGTGTAAAAAGGAAGGATAGTAAACTTAACTTCACACCTCATAAAAAGCTTTGTAGTCATCCCAGTGGTGGCTCTCAGCATCCTGTAAAATGCTTGTAGCACAAACTCTGACGCAGTAGTTCGTAACCTGAAACTGTAGAGCGTTGATGAATTCCTGATATCGTTGGACAGGCACCAGGAATATGGGTCTGTTCAGAGAGAATGATCAAAGAGACAGAGATTTAAGGCCTGTGTAGTAGGAGATAACAATCTCCAGTACTACAAATGGTTTTGATTATTAGATATCAATCATTCATTTCCTCTTAATGCTGAAGTTTGCATCCACATTCACTTTCCAAAAAGGAAAAAAAAAAGGCTGGTCTTTGTTTCACAAGCCCTTTGGAAACATACATCTGCTGTTCTACAAATATGCACTTCAATTTGAGACAAACTGTATTGTCAATACATCATTCAAAAATAAAAGTATGCTTTGTAAACCTATTATTAAGAGTTCAGTGCATTATTTAGGCATTAGGTTATTGTTATTACTAGAGAACAACATGCACTTGTCAGAACCAACTTTTATAAAGCTATCAAATGTCCCACAAACACATTATTTTTAAAAATTGTAATTTTGTAGATATCAATTATCTCATAAACTGTTTTTTAAAATTCTACAGAAATGTTACAATGATTTCTGGCACATTTTGTTTATAAATTCAAGCATGAATCACAACATCTGACTACTTACAAGAATTAAAGATATTATCACAGTTACACCCTAACCAAATTCATTTAACTTTTATTTTTAGCTATGAATACTACACTGTTTTCTTTCATAACCAACAGGCTATAAAGGCTGGATAAAGATTATAGAATAGATTCCTGGGGTCACAAGTGACTGCTAAGTCCACATGTTTCCTTTGCAAGAAGCTGTGTTATATCTAGAGAGTGTAAGGGCAACCAGAAAGACCATGTGATAATTAATGCCTGTGGTCATTTTTATCTCTATACAGAAAACATACTGCAGTTTTAGATTACAAATACATGAAAATTAAGACTGCAGATGCTTTCTCTTCAAATATTACAGTTCACTACTAAATGGCTGTCTTGAAATAGGTTTACATTGATCATTAAAATAGATTACAATGCATTTATTTTCTAAGTCTGCTCCATGAGACAAGAAGTTTATTTTTCCTTTTCAGTGTGGTCAGTATAATGTACCTTACAAAATGAAAGGATGCATTTACTCATGTAATAACATGCAGAAAATAGTTGCGCTGGATTAGGGTGTAACTAGGGTCTTTTGAGTGTGCCTTTAGAGAGGGTACCTTTCTTTCTATTATCGAATATATCCTATACTCCACCTTTTTGATATTTCCTAGATAAGACAAATGAAAATAATTCACCATGTTAATTATTATTTTCTCTTTCTCAAATCTTATTATTAAAATTTCATTCCTGTGATATCCAAAGACATCACCTTTCTTTAAGCATGGCCATCAACTTAATTTAAACAACACTTACTTTTTAGTAATTTCCTTCATCAAATTATCATATTGCTTGAAATACTGGAAGACATACACCGCTGTGGAGAGGAGTGTGTGCAAGTTTTTCAGGGGAGCTTTGGAAGGAACCTCCTTGGCTCTCTCTTGCAGTCTCTGCAGGACAGCTGTTGCCACTTTACAACAGGCTTCCATCAAGTTTGCTCTAATTTCCTGAAAAGAATCATCTCTGCATGCCAGAGCCAGTGGAAGCATTGTGTCAAGTTTTTCCATGATGTCAGAACAAAACTAGGGAGAAATAAATGTGGCACTGAGTTATTTGTATCCTGACAGCACCAACTAATTTATGGACAGTGGAGCCAAATTCCTAAATAATGAATTTGGCATCAAACATAAACATAATGATGCAGCTTTGTAATAATCGATTTCTCAGTTGTAGAAAGTTAAATGTTTTGTGTCAAATAAGGAAATACCAAAATGATGCTTCTCTACATATAACCTGCAAACCTTATGCTTACCAGACAGACATTATGAAAAACTCATGAGCCAGCTTTACATGATAATACCTTTAACTGTAGTTAGTAGGACTCAGAAAATATATATCCTTGATATTAATGTTTGCATTATTTTTTAATTTATTCTAATTTTCTTTTGCTAAATTGCCATAAAGGTTTTTTTTTTTAATTAAATGCCACATATAAATGTCAGTTTAATTTAAATAATCTAGAAGAATCAGAAACAATGACATGTAGCATCCTCTTATTGGTAGGGTGTCAGCAACTTTTAGAAGTGATGAGTCTAGCGTTTCACTATTTATTATCTTCTCTTTCTTAATGGCAGAAGGGAGGTGTGGTGAATGGAAAAGTAAAGCCTATCTCCACATCGGATCAGTCAATAGAGTTCCCTAGGGAATGTTCTGGAGCCTTAGTGTGACAGTGGCAGAATAAGGAGGTCATCTTCAAAAATTATCTTTTAAGAATATCCCAATCATAGGTTGCTGAACTCATTCTGGGTTTAATGCCAAGTGACTATATTTACCTCCTATTTTCTCAGTGTGTTCTGTGACTTTCAGAACACCTATGGAGATGTAAGACGGATACTAATGAGACGAAAAGCTCATTAAAGTGTTAATGAAGATTTCTTAAGTGCCCAAACCAAGAAAAGACAGTAATTCCTTCAACCTCCTAAATTTTCCTGGAGTCATTCAAAGGTGTAATCAAAACAGGTGGTTTTCCCAGGGTTTCCCAGCTCCCCATTAAGTCACAGAGGCCCCTTTTTTGTTGCCTCAGATTCATGGAGCAACAAGCTAGGACCAAGTGTAAGTCCTTTTGGGCAGCAGTGGCCTGTGGATACCACTGAAGAAAACTGGTACTGGGTCGAGTACCAACCATTTGCCAAGGGACTCCATTTGATTTACTATACTAGTATACTAAAATAAATCCATTATGCCAGTCAGCAGTTTGAAAAGATTTCATATACTTGCTTTTCCAATTTTCTTTGGTTGTTCCTCCTCAGGAAACATGTGACTATCTTGCCAAACTTGCCGGACATTTACAAGGTTCATAGTATAACTCACAGCTGAAGACCTTTCATTTTGTTCCTGCTGAAGAATTTTTTCAGAAAAACTTTCAATTGCAGTTATTATGCAGTGTGCCATGGGAAGAGACACCTCTTTAAATGTACTTCTCCAGTCAAAATCTAGTAAAATAGCCTGAAATATAAATTTATATGAAGTCATGTTAACCTTAATTGAGCAACAAATGTTTCTATTGTTATAGATATAAAATTATTACTTTCATTCAACATGTTGAATATATTCTTTGATATATTGTAGAAGCCCATTCTTACAACCTAAAAAATATTACCTAGTGAATGAAGCAATATACAAAAACATGTGCGTTCTTTACACACAGTAATGTACTGACATTTCATTTTAATTCATCAGTGGATTTAATAAAAAACTTTTTAAAAAATTTAATCTCTTAAATACAGTTCAATAAAGGCATCTTTACAAGAGCAGAAAGCTACACTTACTATTTATCACATAAAACAACCTTTAAATTCAATATATTTAATAAAGTCTAAATTAGATTTTTATAGTCTTTTTTATAGTTTATTGTTAACTATTGCAACATAAGACAGCATTTAATATTCAACCTTTTATTTCCTTTTCACTCACAGAACTCCAGACAAGCCAAAAAACAGCAATAAGAAATAAATTTCTCAGCGAAAACACACCACTGCACTTTCTAGATTTTTACTTGCTTAGAATTTTAGTCTCTCCAGCTGTAAAGTCATAAGCAGCACTACTTTTGTTCTAAGAATGAAGAATTGAAATAATCTGCGCTGTCGTGTTGTGGTGACAGGGGTGTGGTACTTGGAAATGGGTAGAAGGGGTTGAGGTACAGGCTGATGTTATCTTTTTTTCCTTTGTTCTGTGGCTCATAAGGCAATATAATTATAAATGTGTATATATATATATATATATATATATATATATATTCATAAATGTATATTTCCTCCAAGACTCTTAACGTTCTCTAAAGTTCAAAAGCATTATTGGTACTAGGCTGAACCTATGCTTAGGATTAAACTTGTCCTGTTTTAGTGTAACTTTGTTTATACTAATGTGCCACCTACCTCAACTTCAGAAAACCCTGAGCTCTACGTCTCTGACTGAATCATTTATTTTTCTTGATCTCAAGGGGTTTTTTGCTAGAAAAACAACTGAGCCAAACTGTATAATTTCTATGGTCCCTTTTATTCTAAAATTACTGAAATTATAATCATAAGCCTGATTTTCTTATATATACGACCCATTCAGAAATAATTTATTCTTTAAATATCTGTACAAAGTAATAAAGGTAATTCATTTTTCAGAGCTAAAATTATATGATTCCATGACTCTGATGACTCATGTCATCAGAAAAAATGGCTTTTGTGTTCATTACGCTCATAACTAAGTTGTAATGGACCTTTCTAAAGACTATTTGGATCTCAAGCATGATAGGGCCTAAAACACATCTCTCTTATCTTATATTTGCATAAAATTTGTCAAAAATGGTCCAGGTGCGGTGGCTCATGCCTGTAATCCCAGCACTTTGGGAGGCTGAGGTGGGCAGACCAGGAGATCGAGACCATCCTGGTTAAAACGGTGAAACCCCGTCTCTACTAAAAATACAATAATTAGCTGGGCATGGTGGCACATGCCTATAGTCCCAGCTACTTGGGAGGCTGAGGTAGGAGAATTTCTTGAGCCCAGGAGGCGGAAGTTGCAGTGAGCTGAGATCACGCCACTGCACTCCAGCCTGGGTGACAGAGTGAGGCTGTGTCTCAAAAAAAAAAATTCATCAAAAATTGAATCTACTCAACTGATATTCTTCTTTCTTATAAGAGAACTTAGAAGTGGCATAGTTCTAACCCTGTGCCATAACAGTAATTCCTTGGGACACATTTGTGAAAGAAATGTAAAAATAAAACTACCTCCATAAAAATTCAAACTAAAAAATTCTAATTTTTCTTTTCCCTATCAGGGCATGTCTATTCACTAAAATTATTCATTTATTCATTCAAGCAAATATATCCTGGTGGAAAATGTCATTAATTGCCATGGCTGCATTGAATTTTGAAAAAATTTTTGTGCAGTTAAAGTTACCTTTGCCTATGATAATGTAATTATAATATGTTGGCCTATCTGAGTTCTCTTTTCAAAATATAGAAAAACAAGTACATTAACAGCTGCTCTTAAAAACAAAACTGAAGGCCAGGCATGGTGACTCATGCCTATAATCCAGCACTTTGGCAGACCGAGGCAGGCAGATCACCTGAGGTCTGGAGTTCAAAACCAGCCTTGCCAACAAGATGAAACCTGTCTCTATTGAAAATATAAAAAATTAGCTAGGTATGGTGGTGGGCACCTGTAATCCCAGGTACTCAGGAGGCTGAGACAAGAGAATCACTTGAACTCGGGAAGCAGAGATTGCAGTGAGCCAAGATTGTGCCACAGCACTCCAGCTTGGGTGACAGAGTGAAACTATATCTCAAAAAGAAAGAAAGAAAGAGAGAGAAAGAGAGAGAGAGAAAACTGAAAACCTTTACTTATTCAAACCTCCAATAGTTTATTTGCTCTTGTGAAATAGTTTGCTTACTTCTACTCTTCTCTTCTGATGTTTGCCATCATACATATTCCATTTAGACTAGACATCATTTACTAGTTGATCCAAGTAAAAAGAGAGAATCACACAGTTTTCTCTTTTACGCACAAAGTAGACAATCTGTTGAATCTCTGTTTTCTATTATCTAATGCTAATTTCTTAGTACTGACTTTGATTTTTGGTTAAAGCATAATATATAATTTAGGATCTTCCTGATTATTTCTCTTGCTTCCTAGGATAAAACTCTGTTAAAACTATATGTTGTTTTGTCTCTTTAAATATTTACCTGGTGTATCAGTCAGGGTCCATTTGAAAAACAGAAATTACTCAAGATTTTTCAAAAGGAAGAATTTTAACATAGGGTTTTGGTTACCTATGTGATGGGAGATTTGAGAAGTCAAACATGGACTGTGAAGTAGAACAGATATTAATAGAGCAGGAGGCCACAACCACCCCTAGGGCTGGAGGAAGGAAGAAAATGGATTCAGTTATGGGAGAGTAGCTCCTGGGGGCTACCAGTTGAAGCTAAAGCCCAAGTAGACATGCCAGGTGGAACTGAAGTCAGGCAGTGCAAGCTGCATGGTGGGAACAGGGCTCACAGTGAAGATAAAGGTGTCACAGCCGTTATCAGAGATGCTCCTTAAGACAGAGCGAAGAGAAGAAACACTCTGGTTTCTCTGCAACTCCTACACTCTGTCAATGCCTTCCAACAGGTCTTCCATCGATGTCTTTAACTGGCTAAACTGTCCCAGAATCCAGAAAGCAAGGGGGCCTGGAAAGTGTAATTGTCTACAATCTAGAGCAGAGCAAGGAGGATGGGTATGAAAAATATGAGGCCAGTTGAGATGATTGTTTCCTTTTCCTTTTTAATCTCCATTTTCTCACTTTTCAACAATTATCTATAGCCCACATCCTCAAAGTGCAAACCCTGAGTCAGGATAAGAACAAAGATTTCTTGACTTCCATCTCTCTATTCCGCCCATGGAACAGATTTTGCAAGAAGACAGTATCCCCACTAAACTTGATTTTCATTAAAACCTATAAGCCAATTTTCAATCTGAAATTGAACAACTATTTTTTTGTAGCAAACAGTAAAAGTCAAGACATTTTGATTCCTATGGATTCACAGACATATGATGATGATATTAAATGTGAATTAAAAAACACTCTTTTTTTTCCTTTCCCTTACCTCTTTTCCTGGTAGCAATTCCTCTGAAGAAATATTAGTTTTGTTTGCTCTAGGTTTCTCTATTACAACTTCTCTATTGGATTTCTCCAAAATTCCTAAGCAATGGAAATGAAAACAAACACACAAATATATATTGTTTAAAAACATACTAGATGTGATTAATAAATTCAGGTAAATATTAACTATGTAGAAAGCTCTATCGGTAGTACATACATATAATACACATCCACAAATATCAATATGTAGAGAATGTAGTCAAAAAGATACAGGCTGATGTCATCATTACAATAATGACAGAAGTAAGATAGAGTCTTTTTCCATATACAACTTGATGACATCTACATTTCAGTTATATTCATGTTTGATGTACACAAACATATGAGCTAAAGAGTAAAGATTTTTTTGTCATTAATTTATTTTCATGTTGCTAATGTAAGGTAAGACAACAAAATAAATATTCATTTTAATGTTCATTTACAAAGTTAATTATAAGGTACGACGTTTTAAAACTGATGGTATTTTCTAGCATGCTAACTTCAAACAAAGAACAAAAATACATAGATAAATATCAGCATAACAAGAAAAATTATATCCTTAAGAATATCAATGATTCATTCAAAAAACATAAACTCTGAGAGACATAAAATAATCCCTAGCTTCAAAAATGGAAATATTTCCATAACTTTTATTTTTTACATTAAGAAACTCTTTTCCACGGTAAAAAACAGATCTATAAAAATGTATTAAATACTCCAAAAAGGAAATCTTTCTACTTTTCATTAAGGTTAGATTAATGATAAGTTGATTCAATATGAATAATGTTTACCTTTTTTGGCTTAGACATGGTATATGATGATGAATTATATATTGTGATCTAACTTTCTTTCTTTCCCCAAGATTTACCAAGAATCAATTTCTTTTCTTTTCTTTTTTCTTTTTTTTTTGAAACAGAGTCTTGCTCTGTCACCAGGCTTGAGTGCAGTGGCCTGATCTCCGCTTACTGCAGCCTCTGCCTCCTGGGTTCAAGCAATTCTCCTGCCTCAGCCTCCCAAAGTGAGTGCCACTATGCCCAGCTAATTTTTGTATTTTTAATAGAGACACAGTTTCACCATGTTGGCCAGGGTGGTCTCAATCTCCTGACCTTGTGATCCGCCCACCTCGGACTTTCAAAGTGCTGGGATTACAGGCGTGAGCCACTGCACCCAGCCCCAAGAATCAATTTCTTTATACCTGGGCAAAGCAAATTTCAAAGTCTAACTGACTTTATCAGTAGGGATTCTCACCAATAGAGACATCTAGTAGATGCATGTTTTCTTTTCCTAAATGTGGCTGTATGAACTTAATTGTGAATGATTTCTAAGGAATAAAGTTGATGAAATAAAAGTGTTTTGTTCTGATATTAACTTCAACCTTCTTGCACATAAAGTGTATTAAAAGTAAAAATTCCATTTGGTTGGCTATTTTGGGAAATGTTATCAGAGTTTATATCTTCTGAGGAAAAGTTTTCATCAACTCTAGTATTCCTTAATCATCTTTGGATTTGTGACTATGTCTAAGAACATGATTAAAGTGACAGAACACTGCATATAAAAAATGCACAGTATGACTGTATGGCAGGCACATGTGCATCTCACACACACACACACACACACACACACACACACACACACACACACAAATTAAGGATTCCCAGGCCTTCTTGTAAATCTCATTCATTAACCCCATGGGCCCATGGACTGCAGTTTAAGAATTCTGTTCTATTTCTTAAGACACATCGCAACATAAAGTTTTAGACTCAGTGTTACACCATTTAACTTAAAATGCTTTTTTATGGCTTGCATTTTATAATGTCTTTTCAAGAAGATGGTGTTATAAATAAGTATCACTTCTAATTAAAACAAAATCCAGATTAATCACAGATTTTTAAATAAAGAAAATTGAAACTGTAAGCCCCTTAAAAGAAAATATGGATTTTTTTTTAAAAAAGATTCACATAGAAAAGACTTTCCAGGACACAGAATGCAGAAACTATAAAGTAAGTCTGCAACAATAAAAATACCATCAACTGTCAAAGTGGATATGACAAACTGACTTGCCAATCTTTCTCAAAATGTCCACTTTCTGAAAATTAATACAGTTTATTTATTTTTTTAATTAATTTTTTTTTTTGAGACGGAGTTTCGCTCTTGTTACCCAGGCTGGAGTGCAATGGCGCGATCTCGGCTCACTGCAATCAGGCAATTCTCCTGCCTCAGCCTCCTGAGTAGCTGGGATTACAGGCACGTGCCACCACGCCCAACTAATGTTTTGTATTTTTAGTAGAGAAGGGGTTTCACCATGTTGACCAGGATGGTCTCGATCTCTTGACCTCGTGATCCACCCGCCTCAGCCTCCCAAAGTGCTGGGATTACAGGCTTGAGCCACCGCGCCCGGCTAACACAGTTTATTTTTTAGCAAAGTTTTCAGTTTACAGAAAAACTGAGCGGAAAGTTCACATATACTTTCTCCCTGCCCTCAGTTTCCTCTACTGTTAACATCTTTCAATATGTGGTATATATGTGACAGCTGATGAACAAATATAAAAACATTATTATTAACTAAGTCCACAGTTGCATTAGGATTCATTCTTTGTGTTTTGCAATTCTATGGATTTTGCCAAATGTGTAATATCATGTACCCCTCATCACTCTGTCACACAGAATAGTTTCCTTGCTTTAAAAATCCCACGGCACCACTTATGCATCCCTCCTTCCCATATCCCCTCCCTGGTACCCACTGACCTATTTACTGTCTTTATAGTTTTCTTTTTTCCATAATGTCATATAGTTGGAATCATACAGTATGTAGCCTTTTCACATTAGCTTCTTTCACTTAGTGATACACATTTAAGGTTCCTCCATGTCTTTTCATGACTTGACATCTCATTTCTTTTTATTGATGAATAATATTCCATTGTATTGATGTACCACAGTTTGTTTATACATTTACCTACCGAAGAACATTTTAGCTGCTTTGAAGTTTTGGTAGTTATGAATAAAGCTGCTGTAAACATTCCTGTGCAGGTTTTTATACGGACGTAAGTTTTCAACTCATTTGGATAAATATCTACGAGTGCACTTGCTGGATCGTATGATAAAACTATGTTTAGCTTTGTAAAATACTGCCAAACCATCTTCCAAAGAGCCTGTACCATTTTGCATTCCTAACAGCAATGAATGTGAGTTGTTCTGCATCCTTGCCAGAATTTGGTGTTGTAAGTGTTTTGGATTTTAGCCATTCTAATAGGTGTGTAGTGTCATCTTGTTTTAATTTGCATTTTCCTAATGACATGATGTTGAGCATCTTTTCATATGCTTATTTGCCATCTGTATATCCTCTTTAGTGAGGTGTCTGTTCAGATCTTTTAGGAATTTTTAAATTGGGTTGTTTGTTGTTGAATTTTAAGAGTTCTTTGTATATTTTGGATACAAGTTCTTTATCATATATGTGTTTTGCAAATAGTTTTTCTTAGTTTGTGGCTTATTTTTTCATCCTCTTTATGATCATGCCTGCTTATTTAGCAATTCTACTTTGGAAATTTACCCTCCAGATATAGTTGTGTACATATAAGAAATAGTTCAAGGAAATTTGCCATACCATGCTTTGTGGTAGCAAATGAAGAGGGGAAAAAACCCTTAACTGTCCATCAATGAAACTGTCCATGGGCCATGGGGTTAAATCATGATATATGCACCAATGGAAAACTATTCCTCTAGTAGAAATAATGAAGTGTTTCTAGATTTCCTAAATTGTTATAAAAGAGAACATCTACATAGTATGACAAGATTTTGAGTTACTTTTAACATAGAGATATACATGAAGTAGTTACTCTTTCATTCTATTCAAAAGTTTTCAGTTTTTTTAAAAAAGAAAAAATAATAAAGATCAAGTTATTAATGACAAGAAGGGACAACAATTGAATTCTTAATGTCACTTTACTTTTCTGTAGATAGCTCATTTAAAAGGCATTTACTCTGGAAAAATAACACTAGATTGAAGTATAAGCTTTGCAGATCTGTTTCTGGAAATAACTGCTATTGTGTAGCTGTAGCTTAAGACTTACAGAAAAAGTGAATTATCTTGTGTTTATCATTTCACTCCCAAATATATTATGTTTATTCACTCAAAGTAATGTGCTCAGATGTTTATACAAACCATCTGCCTATATTCAAGGTGACTAAGGAAAAAAAGAAGCTTAAGACTTCTCTTGCTGGTGAGCAATTCTAGATACAGAAAATGAATTATCAAGCAATTATGATAGCCTTTAAAATATAATCCCTCTCCCTAAATTAAAAAGGTTTTAAAAAACTTAATGCTGTACAGGGAAACAAAAGGATCATCTGTAGGTAGAATTATTAACATGGAATCTACACTAAAGCTACTGGATTTAAAAAATTGTGTCATTTTTACATTTGTTTGGAATTCAAAATGGTCAATTTTGAAATTTGGCAATGTAAAACTCTATGAACTCTAAACATTTAGTGAATTATTTCACATATTTTAAAAATGTATTTAAAATTCTATTCAATTATTATCATTGGCTAGAGAAGATAGCCCACTTTTGGCTCATCACTGTAAAATATAGTTATCTGCATGCAATCAATACTGGTTTCTTTAAAAGCGTGCCTAGATTAAGAACCTCAGAAGAGTGCAGAGGGTCACAAGAATGCCAGCTGCTCAACAGCTTCCCCTACAGAGTTCTCCGTGGTTCATTTTATACTTCTGGTTAGTTTCCACACTGCCGCTTTCTTTCATAGAGAGTAGAGGTTGGCAGTACTTCCCTGTGACATCCACTTTCACACCCAAATTGGTCTTCATAGGTTCCCATTGTGTGCACTACAAAGCAACTTGCCTTGTTGGCAGCTCTAAGTGGGAACTACAAGTCTTTCTTTTCTTCACTGTTCTTTTTCTGGCTCACAAGCAACCTCCCACCAAAAGCTGAATCTGTAGAAGAGACTACATCCAAGAGATAATACCATGAAAAAGTATGAAGAGAAACCCAGGTGGCCACCTTGCAAATTTCCAATGTGGAAGCCTTCGACCTCTCTGCCCAAGAAACAGCTAAAGTCCTAGTGTAATGAGCTTTACAAACCCTAGGAGCCTCTTTACCTTAACTACATACGCCTCCCTAATACAATCCCTTAACCATCTAGCTAAGGAACTCTTAGAAGCCATTTGACCCCTCTTAAGACCCCCTAAGAGTACAAACAATCTTTCAGAAGATCTGAAATCTTTGATTCTTCTGAGACAAACCCTAAGTGTTCTTCTTACATTCAATTGAAGCAGCCATTGCTCTTTGTCATTGCTGGGGCTAAAGAAAAATGAGGGCCAAGAAACCTCCTGGTTTAGATAAATCTCAGATGCCACCTTTGGAAAAATTGAGGAACTGCCCAAAGAACAACTTTATTCCAAAGAAGCATTAGAAATGCCCCATAAATCAAATCCACGGCCACTCCATAAGATATCATCACCTAATACAGTAAGGCACCACAACAGTCAAATAATGTCCTATCATTTTCTGAAGTGACAAAAATAGAAAACCATCAAATCATAACCAAACGAAAGCAAATAATGACTAAATATTTTTTCTTTCTCAGAAAATATTTATTGTATCTCCACAAAATCTCTTGTCCACATTCAAATTACTGAGAGAATGGCCAATTTGGCTAAGTCTACAATATAATAGTAAAGATCAAAGTAAAAAGTAAAATATTTAGTTAGTCATTTTTATATTTCCTCTACATGATGTTAAGTGTCTGGACATTTTTTAAAAATATGCGCAATGAAAAAAAAAAAAACCTCGCTTTTCATCTGCTCATATGTTTGGGTTACATAGACATCATAGGCAACTCTTTCCAAGATCTTTATTAGCAAAATATGCTCCAATCAAAAGAAACACACAGGAAACCAAAAGACTTCCTCTCTTTTTTCCTGCCATTCTCTTCTTACAAGATTTCAAAAAAAAAAAAAAAAAAACAAACAAACAAAAAAAACACATTAACTATCAGGAATACCCAATAGTTAAGATACATTTGGCTTCTTTAATCATCTATTTCAAGGAGTATTTTCCTTCCTAAGAAACCAATGCTTCTGATAAGAATTGATTAACTTGGATACACTGAATAAAACATTTAAGATTTTTCTTGACAATTTCCCTCAAGATCATTTTTCTCAGGAATCCATTTACGTAAAGTTGTGTCAGATTAAATCAATCTTGGCTTTGCGATAAAAAAAATATGAATTTCAACAATGAAGACTACATATATATCACAGGAGACGTTCTAGTACTTAGACACTTCTTATACTTGCCAGTTGAAATTTCTTCTACATCCAGTGGTTGATAATCCACAAATGTGTTCATATAGTCCACTATTATTAACATGATATTGAAGTTGTTTTTATCTGCCTTGCTACTTACAACACATTTGCAACAGTATATAGTGGCAAATTATATATTTTCTCTGTTGACTTTATTCAAGAATGGTAATCATTGCTCTCAAATATATAGCATTTGCCAAGTCTCCACATTGCCTGATCCTCATCTAATGGAGTTGAATCACCTTTTTCAAATTTTTTCTCCTTTTCTCTAAAATCAGCATGCCAAATCTGTGTTTCAATTCTTGGCCATTTCGGGGTTTATATCTTTATAATACCTCCTAACACAATTCTAATTTTGAATTTATGCTGCCTTTAAGAAGAATAAAGTTCACAAAATTGACTTAATTCCCAAGGGTCTAGCCTGGGACTAATACAAGATGATTCAAAATGGGTAGACGCCTAGATGCTTTGGAGTTCATTCTGTTTCCTGATTCATGCCTTAGAAAAGATCTGTTAGAGACATAGATGAGAGATGACAAATTTTAGCCAGGCATGGTGGAAGAGTACCAACTCCAGTGTCAACTGTTATAGGAACCAATATGTCAATCAATAATTAGGATTTCTCTATAATCTGTATTTCTCTATTCAGATCTCTGACTTCACAGTCAAACTCTATCTAAAAGATGCTTTAAGGCTCACATTCTCTCCTAATTAAATCTACTTTTTCATTCTCTGTTTTAATTAATACTTGTATTTTCTACCTTGTATTTTTATTATTTTCCCCATGGCTTTTTTTTTCCTTTTGTTGGCTTCAGAAATATATAGCCCATCTTTATTTTTTCTTCAAATTATCTCCAAATTTAAAAAAAGTAATCTATGCTATTAATTTTATAATATATTAGTGTTACCTAAATTTTGCCTGAAACAAAGAAGGCCAATAAACTATGTGTGATGTAAAACAAAATCCAACCCTATAACTTTTCTGACATTATTTACATGGGCAAAGTGTGTAACGGAATACAAGAGTAAACAAATTGAATTAAAACAATTTTACCAAGAGATCAGTTTTGGGGATTAAATTTTTAGACTAATTGTTAATCATTTGCTTCCTTCACTTTGTTTTGCAGATACAGCAAATATATATAGTTACACTCCTTAACATGGCATAGGTATCATGTAAGGGAGAGCTCTGTACATCTCACTCTGAGAAAAATGAAAATTTTTATAAATATAGATATGACAACAGAGAACATACCTTACTCATTGTACCTTTGAATTTTACCTTTAACGTTAGACATATTATTCAGTATACATGGTGCAGCTTTTTTCAAAGGGATTTTGTTAAGAGTAAACTAAAAACAATATACTCCATAATTATAATTACTATTTTAACAATTCACATTTATTGATCATTTATGACATACTAGGCATTCCTTTAGATATTTTATTTTCACTGTCATTTAATTCTCACAACCCTATACAACATTATAACATATTAAATTGGAAGCATCTAATCATCAAAGAAAACAATGAATAACTTAATATAGTCCTATATCATTATTTTAAAAATGAAAAAATTCAGGTCTAAGGAGACTAAATGTTCTGCTCAAGATCATCTGGCTACTAGGAGTGCAAGAAGAGATATTAGACCATACAGTCTGCTTATTCTTTCCATAGGCTAGTTGTATGTCTGTGAAAAGAAAAATTGATCTAATATTACCTAAAAATTATTCAGAATTGATGTGTGATGCTTTGTCAATTGGAAATAAGGAGCTTGCCAAGCACAAAGGATAAAAATTTGTGCATTTTTATATATAATGCATGGTGTGCATTACACTGACCACTTCTTTAAAGAATTCTTTCATGTGTTTTTTTTTTCCAAGTAATCATTTTCAAAGTATCAAGAAGCAAACACACAGAGAAATTATAGATTTATAAATTTAAACAAAAGAGGATATTACCTGAATGCTTCCTGGTTATCTTGAGTGATAAAAGTAGTTCTTCAAACAATTCTTGAACACCTTTTTCCAGTTTCAAAAAGGATTTTATGAGCTCTGATAAGAATTCAACTTTGTCTAAGGGGAGAGAGAACTTTCTTCCTTTTTGTGGGCATTCAGGGGTAACTGTGAAAAGAAAAGATCAATATTGTCATGCATTTTATTTATCTTCTTAGTAAATATTAGAGCAATCTATGTGATTCCATAAACCATCTAAAAACTAACCAGATCCTCCATAATTAGTCCAAGTTAGTTCATTAAGAAACACATATAAAACCTCCTAGGAGTATCTTTTCTTCTGGGAAGATGGAGATGAATATTCTGTTTGAGGCAAATATGGCAATTAAATTATTAGATTGATTCTCAGAGTTATAAATAGAAATTGGATTTGTTGTAAAATCACATCTTACGCAATTCTGCTTTTTTTTTTTTTTTTTTTTTTTTTTTCCTTAGTCTAGCGTAACTTGAATCTAATGACAAGGAGATACTACACAAACCCAAATTGAGAGATATTCAACAAAATACCTCCTGGTCTGTACTTTTCTTTTTTTTTTTTTTTTTTTTTTTTTTTTTTTTTTTTTTTTTGAGACGGAGTTTCACTCTTGTTACCCAGGCTGGAGTTCAATGGCGCGATCTCGGCTCACCGCAACCTCCGCCTCCTGGGTTCAAGCAATTCTCCTGCCTCAGCCTCCCGAGTAGCTGGGATTACAGGCACACGCCACCATGCCCAGCTTATTTTTTGTATTTTTTTAGTAGAGACGGGGTTTCACCATGTTGACCAGGATGGTCTCGATCTCTTGACCTCGTGATCCACCTGCCTCGGCCTCCCAAAGTGCTGGGATTACAGGCTTGAGCCACCGTGCCCGGCTGGTCTGTACTTTTCAAAAGTGTCATGTAAGGGAAGCACAAAGGCCAGGAAATGACCTAGTTAAAGAAGTCTAAATAGACATTAAGTACAATTGAAATTAATACACAATCGGCATTTTATTTTGCTATAAAAGACATTCTTGGGATAACTTGGTGAAATACATTACATCAATTCTGAAGTCTATTATCAAATGTTATTATTGTATGACTTAATTTCTTGATTTACATAACTATTGTGGTTATGAAAGAGAATTTCTTTGTTTTTAGGAAGTACATACTGAAATATGTAAGAGTGTCTGCAGATTATTTTTAATTCAAGAAAAAATAAAATTTTGCAAAGAAAGGGGGAAAACAAAAGTGGAAGTGTGGTCAAATATTAACATTTGGGAAATCTGAATGTAAAGAAAACTTGGGAATTCTTTGTATTATCCTGGCAACATTTTTGTAAAACTGAAATTAAAATAAACATTTTACAAAACACTATGTGAAAGATATATTCTTTAAGACCTTATATGTTTTGTTCCTATCATTTAAAAAAAGCAAATTAAGGCCGGGTGCAGTGGCTCATGTCTTAATCTCTGCACTTTGGGAGGCTGAGGTGGGTGGATCAGGAGATCAGGAGTTTGAGACCAGCCTGAACAACACGGTGAAACCCCATCTCTACTAAAACTACTAAATATAGCCAAGCATGGTGTCGCGAGCCTGTAATCCCAGCTACTCAGAGACTGAGGCAGGAGAATCGGTTGAACCCGGGAAGCGGAAGTTGCAGTGAGCCAAGATTATGCCCCTGCACTCCCACCTGGGCAACAGAGCAAGACTCCGTCTCAAAAACAAAACAAAAAAAACCAAATTAAGTTAGCTATTGAATCTAGACTACGTAATTCATGAAGTCATGTTTATAACTTTTTCAAAATAATTGTGATATCTATTATTTTCATAAGAACAATACAAATTAAAGGGTGTTTTTTTTTGTCCTCTTCTAATTATACTGCTAGTAAAGTCATACTATCATTTTATTATGATAGTAAAATCACTTTATACTCTTTGGAGAACAAATCATTTATTTCATGTTTTTAACTCCATTTTGTTGCTTCCACTTTAGATTACATCACTAAATGGGTTTTTTTGACCAAGTTTTAAAGGATTTAAAAGAAACCTTTCTTTATTAGTGCCTTTTCTTAAAACATATATTTAATAAATATAGTGAAGCTTAATTATCAATTGGAAAATTTGTAAACTCCTGCAAACTTAACATAAATTGCCTTTGGAGACAAAATACAAGCGCTATTCAAAAATCGTATAGGGTCTGGCAATTCAATGGGAAAGAAAAAGATTACTTTCATCACATGGATGCAGAAGGAAGATTTCAGAAATCTAACAATTTTATGGCTAATCTACTTCACTTCAGTGAAACTTTAAAATGTTAGCATCAAACTTGTAGTCCTATAATAGTCTTTCACTAAGGACCAAAAATGTCACAGTATCTTCACAGGTAATATGAGAAAGAGCTGTCTAACAACTTAGACTATAAAATTTAGTACTGTTCTGAAATAGTAAAAAGGCTTAAAAAAATCTGCAAGTAGATCCAAAAACTCTGTTTCATCTCTAAGTTGACATTAGCCCCATATACATGAAAATCTAATTGACGCGTACTGTTCTTCTATAGGCATGCTAGAGAACACAGTATGTATAAGCAGCATATACAACTAAGGCTTTGTCAGAAATAGTATGCCCCAAAATGAAAAAAGAAGAAATATATTATGTTTTATTTAGTTGGTGCTTGATTCCCATTTGGTCTGTTTGGTTTCTCTTAAGCTTTGCTCATGTAGATGAGTGGCTAGTTTAACCTTCTAAATCTTAAATTTCCTTTTGCAACTAAAATGTTTATAAACCAAATTTTCAAAGGCTTTCAGAATCCTTCCTAATTCTTTATTAGGAAAGGCCACTCAATAGTTTGACTAGAAATTCAGCATATTTAAGAAGTGTTTATCTGGCTCAATTCCAAATTGAAAGTCTTGTGAATGTTTATAAAGTAAGCGAAGAAGCACCCCAAGAAAAATCTTTGAGAGTCAAAATTATACAAGACTGCTACTTGTTGACAATTATGCGAGGTCTGAGGATTCTATATAAAGAGGTCTTACTTTCATGACCTGGATTTAGAAGAATCTTGTACTCCAGGAATAAAACAATAGTGAAAAGGAAATCCTTTTTTAGTTCAGTGAATCTTTATAACTTAATAATGCAAGAGGATAGAATAAAATATATGACCTAATTCTAATCATTTTTTTGTTCCAAAGAACCAATGATTATGGTAGAGGCCCATTAATTAGCAGTCTTTATTTCCTATTACTATCAGCTCAGTGTTCTCCCAAGGGGTATTGTATGGCTTCTTAATTTATGGGGAAAATAATTCTGTGATAAATTCATTTTGCAAACGGCCAATTAAAGCAAAATTAAACACAAAGGATGAAGTAGTATTTCCCAAACTTATTTGACTTATTTTACCCCACAGTATCTCATAGGACTAGTGTCCTAATCATCACACCTTAGCTCATGATCTCTAGCTGCCTAATATTTGTTTCTCTGTCCCTTAAACTCTTCATTGTCAACCAAATGAGGAAAGAGTTTTTCCCAGCAGAGATTCCTTGACCTTCTCCTTTGCTAAATTAATCTTCTTTCCACGTTTTTCAATATTATTTGTTTGCTCCTCCCCTCTAAGTCACCTCTCCAGAAAACATTATCTGCCAGCCTGGGCAACATGGCAAACCCCATCTCTACAAAAAATACCAAAACAAGCAAACAAACAAACAAAAATTAGCTGGGCGTAGTGGTGCAAGCCTGTAGTTCCAGCTACTTAGGAGGCCGAGGTGGGAGGATCACCTGAGCCCAGGAAGTCAAGGCTGCAGTACAGTGAGATTGCGCCACTGCACTCCAATTTCGGTGACAGAGTGGGACCCTGTCTAAAAAAAAAAAAAAAAAAAAAAAAGTTGCTCCATCTCAGTCCGCTGCAACCTCTACCTCCAGGGTTCAAATGATTCTCCTGCCTCAGCCTCCTGAGTATCTGGGATTACAGGCACCCACCACCAGGCCCAGCTAATTTTTGTGTTTTCAGTAGAGACGGGATTTCGCCATGTTGCCCAAGCCGGCCTTTCTCAGCCTCCCGAAGTGTTGCAGTATCAGGCGTGAGCCACTGCACCCTCCTGGAAACTTTATTTGGCTACAATCAATCCAGGAGTTCTCCTTCCCCCAGTAAGCCAACCTGGTCTTTATTTATTTATTTAAAACACTGTGGAACTATCATGATTTACAGTTTTGGACATACATGTTTATACACAGGCAACTCCATTTGGCCTGCTGCCAACCATTGCTGTAAAATATCTGACATAATAACTATCGTTTGGCTATAAGATGAGCTCTATGATTCCTAGGAAATATAAATTTCTCCTAAATCCCCAAAATAGTATCAAGATAAAATTAAATTTTCATTTTAGAGAAATCTTTATTTATCATCGCCCAGAAATGAGTAAGTCCATGTAAACAATAACTAGATAGTTGAGGGGTTTTTTTAATATATAATTTTAATAAGAATTTTTCTAAAATGCAATATAAAATAGTCTGCTTTATTTAATGTATTTAAAACAATTTAAATTTTCCTTCATGACAGAGTTATAATGAAAGTTACTTATTTCTGTGCTACACTCAGAGACTAATGTTTGTCCCTCTGTTAAAGGGCATTTCTCAAACTGATAATCATTTGAAAAGTGTTCTATGACCAAATAAGCTTGGGAAATACAACATACTGAATTCTCCTTAAAGTAATTCAGAAAGTGAATTAGCATATTAAAGGCTCTATTTACTTCCCTAATAAAGTAAAAACTTGTTAACTTAGTGTTTCTCAAACCTTTTTGATCAATGAACACAAGTTTATCAATACATATCTACTCCTGAGATATTCTCAAGAACAGTTGTATGAGGGACACTTGCTCTGGATTCCTCCACAACTTGAGTATTTATATCTGCTTTATAGATTTTCCTTTCATCGTGGATTCTTGTTGCTGGTTGTGTGGATGATTTTACCTGTACCCTCTTCCACTTGCAAACTGCTGTTTCTAACATTATCATAGTATTTTTGCAGACCCCTTTGAGAAACTATGGAAAGTCTTGTAAAGCCTCCTAGACCTTCTCATTGAATACAATTCATGTAGTCACACAGTGTGAAGGCTGAACAGAACCACCTGAAGTCCATCTTTGGCTCTCAT